TCACATGGGATGTCACAGGTAAAAACAGTTAGTCTTGATGTAAAGCAAATGTTTTCGATTGTCAAAATCAAATCTTGGTATCCAAACATTAAAAATCTAAGTGCCACTTCTAACTATCACTCATTTAAAAGCATAGCAAACTCCTTCATGTTTTGCTCCACGTGGAAGAAATACAACCCTGGTAAAAGAATCTTACTAGGTTGTTCTGATACTGAAATATTTGATTGCCATTACTGGAAAAAACTGAAAGACAGTACCAACATACTATGAAAAATCACTGTCTGTACTGATTACAAATGCCTGTGGGGAGCAATTCAGAACAAAACCCAGCATGTTTTTCCCAAATTGCCAAACAAGAGACACAGAAAATTAATACACCACCTTAATTATTTCTGGAAGATAATTCCCCAGGGAATCACAGTCAACCTAACCGGCTACTGTGCACCAGGTTTACATGCTGATTCAAGAAAGCTGATACTCTGTAGTCCCAGCTACTGGCCAAGAAATCAAACTCAAATAAGATGCCTGAATTTAGCATCACAACTAATTTGAGTGAGTCACAGAGTTCCATCTTCAGTCTTGATGAAGAGGGAGGGCAGGAACCTAATTTACTGCCCAGTGCAAACCTTTTTCTGCATAGTCAAGTCCAGATTTACAGAAGACAACCACTGTACGTTATGTCATGAATGCACATCACAGTCCCACACTTTTACAATTTGAAAAGTTACTACAATCTAAAGGCCAACTGGGAATCCAGAAAATTTCTGGACAGTCAAGCACTAGGAAAAAATATGCAAAATGTCCACAAGTGCCTGAGATTTTACACTACATTGAGTGCTGTTGGAGTGAATGGTTAATGCCGGGATACTAACAGTGCCATCACAACCTGGATGATTTTTCCATTGTGCGTTCACATGGTGAGCATATGCTTGTGGCTTATTACCACTTCCTAACACAAGCACATGCAACCAAATTTACCCCATGACAGCCTACCTGTAAGGAGCACATTGCTTCCTATACTTATGTGTTTCATCACATATGATTTGCATATGTTAATAAGCAGGTTTCCCTACATGGCTCCCAAGAGAAAGCCCACAGCATTCTAGTCACCAAAAGTGCACACAGTGAAACTGAAGCCCTGTGTACAGCAGCAGTGCACCACACATGACTTTTATACCCAATAAGGGCCTTGGATTCCAGGACTGATGGAAAACTGCACTGAGCCACATAAATCCAGCCCCAACGCCTAGTCACCTGCTGTTGGCCATGAACAAGGCTCTAGGAGAAGAAATACACTACGTCTCATCACACTTCAAAGCTTTCCAGAAATAAAGCAGCTCTGCAACTAGAGCACTCTGTGAACCGATTCACTGAAAATATGTTAATATAAGTAATTCTGCAGTAAATTATTAAGTACTCTGGCAGATCCAACTGCAATCTTCATTTTCAAAAAAAAGTACTCTCTGTTGTGCCTCATCGAGAACTAGGGCAGGGCACATATGAACTGCATTAACTAAAGGCTGTTTTGTATTACTAGCTCGATATGCAGAGGGTGTCCTTGCATAAAGACCCAACAGTAAATCACATGACTACACACATTTCACTGAATGTATAGGATCAGTAAAGCGGCAGCCATCAGTTTCCCTTATGCATACAAGTCTACAAAACAGACACATTTTGTCACAGCATATGACTAACTGCACAAAGATTTCAATGCTTTCTCCTATTAACAAAGAATTATTTATGCTGGACAGGCAAGTTATTAGAAACAGTCCTGTAGTGCCATTTCTTTGGACTGGATTTCAGGCAGTAGGTTCAAAAAATCAGCAGTTTCTGAGATTAAGGCAAGGTAATCTAGGGCTACAGCCCTATGCCCGTTTATTTGGGAGTAAATCTCAATGAAGAAGACTTCTAAGTAAACACATGAAGGACTGAATACCAGAGGGACACAGCTATGCTAAGGCTGTTGCAGCCCAAACAGGAGTCCTGTAAGTGAAATTTTAGCTTTAAAACTAATTTAAAGTTAAGAAAGGCTTTAAGATGCCTTGAGTCGCCTCCATACACAGGATCACTTGTTAAACCTGTGAGAGCACCACATGTCCAGCAGCTCTAAGAGGCAAACAATAAGCAATAAAGTCCTGTCTTACTCCTGCAATAGAAGATATGGCAATTCTCCTCCTAGTATTACCTCTCTACTTGCAGAGAATTCTGAATGCTTCCCTCACGCACAAAGCAACACCATTCAAACAGAAAATTAATACAGGTAAAATTCAAAGCTCCTCACTAGCTTTCTATTTGTAAAGAAGTCACATGGCGTAAAAAAAAGATATATAGGGTAACAGATAAAACTTTCCATAAAACTAACACAGTAGGGGGAAAGAGACAAGCACAATATGTTTGCATATTGTGTTATTTTTCTACCTGTGAGATGTTCCTCCCCCCCTTTGTTTAATTTTATGAGATTAAAAGAAATCACAAGCATGTAAAACATAACACTTCCACAGTGCTCTTTTTACAAATTTTCTGTGAATGTGATATGATTTCTGTATATACAAGAGTCTTGTATATACAGAAATCATATCACATTCACAGAAAATTTGTTTCCAATACTCCAAAAAGGGTGAAAAGAAAAAAGAGGTATTTAATTTTTATAACAGCTTCACTATTTATGTTAATATTCGGCTACATAAAAAAGAGCATTAGAGAATCACCACACAAATCACATAAAAAGAGCACTGGAGAATCTTTTTACACAACCAAACGTTTAACATTCACTTATTTTTTTTTTAAATCCCCCTTTCAGAATTGGATGTATGCACGAACTGAGCGACCCACAGTCTATGGGCTCAGTTATGATGGGCCTCTAAATACAAATAATGACAATAAATTAAATCAGCATTTTTGTTGTTGGTAATGGGACCTCAGCATGTCTTGATCAGTCCGCATCCCTTTCTCTCGCTTTCGCCTTTCTAGGGCATTTTATGACGACGGTCCCCGCCGCCACCGCCGCCGCCACCACCCTCCACATCCTGAAAGGGACCAAATCCGCCGCTCCCCGTCCTCCTTCCCTCCGCGATCCCTGGAGGGCGCGCCAGAGACTGTGCCTTCCCACGGCCACGGCGGCCTGGGGCGCAGGAGGAGAGGCGGCAGCTGCTGCATCACTCACCTTGGCCCTCTTGCGGCGGCTGGTCCGGCGGCCTTCGGGGGTCTCGGCGATGCCGGTGGTCTCGGAGCCCACGGCGGGCCCGCTGGGCGGCGGGTCGGACAGGGCCCCCGGGGGCGGGGCGCGCGCCGGCTCCTTCTTGCGGGGCGTCCGTTCCGAGGCCGCTGCCGCCAGCTTCCACCGCGGCCTTCTTCCCCGCGGCCAGCATCACCTCACAGCAGCGGCGGCGGCGGCTGCGGTGGCGCCTCAGAGAAAGTCAATCAGACGGACAAAGGCGGCCCCGCGCGCGAGGCCACCGAACCCTCCACAAGCTCCGCCCCTCAGTGGAGGCCGCGCTACTGCACACGGCTCGGCTCCATCTCGGCCACCGTAGCACACCGACGCTCTGAGAGAGGAAGGCGAAGCTCCTCGGAGAGGGAAACGTATTGCCCTTTCTGGGGTGCCGTAGAGAAAGGAATGGGGCGCGGACCTTTTGTCTGAAGAGTCGCACTTTTGAAAGCGCAGAGCGCAGTCACGATAGGAAAAGATTTTGAAGAGATACTTTCCCATTTTCTAGCCTGTTCATTACCAAAACAAACCCAGCTAAAGGTATGGTCTACTCTGTTCCAGGTGACTATTTTAGGCTGTAGCAGCAGAATAACTCACTGGCAGCTTACGGCCTAACAAAGAAATCCACTGGCGGGCCTTCAGGACTAACTACAATTATTTCAGGAGTTAATGCTTGCTTCCTCAGGATATGTATAGAAATCAAATTGAGAATTCTGGGGCTGGCAACAAAGGGGTTAGGTAGAGGGTTAAGTGTCTTTTAAGTGTGGCTGAATTATCCATCTGCCTTAAAGATTTGATGTTGAAATGCTAGGTGCAAATTATTTTTGTTCTAACAGTGGTTTTGACAAGCATTCACTTGTCCTCAGATGTCCCTGAAAGTTTATGTTCCAGTTATGGCTTGTTAGTCTCCAGAGTGTCCCTGGCTATCCATTTTATCGTGATCTGAAGCAAAAACTAGTGATTTCACTGGGGAGCTAAAAGCATGGGCGTAAATCACTCCCACTGAAAGCTACAGGGCTGTAAAAGGGCCTCCCGTCTTGCAGTACTGCTCATAAGCCAGCTTTCCTGCTTACAAACAATCCTATGCAATATTGACTCACACATATGTCCCATTAGGACTTACACTCAGGGAAGCATGCATAATGTTTCATAGGATCAAGCTTTATGTTATTGGGAGATCAGCTGAAGTAAATCTAATTTACTTCCAAGCAAGTATATTCAAGAGCATGATGTAGAATCTCACGGCTATTGGGGAGGGAATCAGAAAAACAAGGACTAGCTAAAGCATAATTCTGAAATCAACAGCTGCAGTTGCTTCAGTGCGCAATATGCAACCAAATGGCCTGCGCAGAGTAACTGGCCTTGTCCCAATGTTACATCTTTCTTTAGAATTATCAGTATCTAAAGGTGGCCACTTTTTTTTCTAGCAGGACTTCTGGGATTTTAGCTATGTGGCAAGCAGAAATTCAACAGGTGAATATAACCTCAAGCAAGGAAAGAGCTGCACAGGTTTATTTCTGCATAGGCAGAAATTCATCAGAAGAAGGAAGAGAATGTAGAGCAGCCACTTTTATAAGCGAAACTGGATGTTCAGCATCATATCTAGGTCTGAAAGGCTTCTGTTAGGGAGAGGGGCTGTCATCGATTGACATTCACTTCTATTAGTTACTGTCATCCCAAGCCCCACTTTGCCCAGACAAAATCAGGGGAATACACACATGAAATCCCTACAGACAAAGTTCCAACTCCCAGCCCAATACTCAACAATATATTCAAACACTCATTATTAGATTGCTGGAATTTATTCTTCGGTCCCCACTGCAGGGTAGAGATGACTTTATCTGCAAATAGTAGCCTTTTCATTGTGGGTTTGAACTTGAACCTAGGGGGAAAGCTCCACGCTCTCAAATCCAGACTTCTGGTTTAAATGCTGGAATCCCACTTGTCAAAAAGGGGAGCATTTTCCAGGTCCTGAACCCCACATGGATGAGGTAGGAAAGCTCAAAGTTTGCTGTACAGAACACCCAGACAAAAGTGCTTAAGGTACAAAGAGTCACATTCAAAAGCTTCCACAAATTCAAGCAACTCTTCAGGTTCTAACAAATTACTTTCCTCCTCGAGAACTGTTCTGTGATGAGCAGAATTTTTGTAACATTACATTCATCCCCCCAACTCAATCCCCCACAAGATTATTTTACTTTAAAATTCATTTCAGTTAATTGAATACAAGTTTTTAAGGAGCTCGTTTCAAATCAGGTGAAGAGCACAATGTCGCTGATGCAGAATGGTGTGTTTGGAATGGATGTATTTATATATTATATAGTTTAAAAAACAAATCCAGGAATTCGATTTTGGGATACAAGCTCCTCCTCTAAGCCGGCTGGCTTATTTCAATCAGTCTTGCTTGGAATCCTTGAGTGCTTGAAGTCTTTCTAACAGTGGAGGGTGAGAATAATGCCACATAGAAAAGAGCCAGTCTGAAACGGGGAATCCCAAGTTATCTTTGTTCAACTTGATCAGGGCTGAGTACAAGTCTTGAGCCTTCCCAAGATCCTTGGCAAAAGCATCCGCTTGAAATTCAAATCGTCTGCTTAACACAGTTAAACAAAAGGAGAGGACCTGTGGAAGAAAGAGAAGGGGACTCTTGTGAAATCCCAGAATGTGCCTCAAAGCCCCACCAAACCATTTCCCCAGTTGATGGCTTTTTAATCCCTGTAATAATTCCACAGCAATCGGTATGAAAACAGAACAGAACTTTGTTAGACCATAAGCCAGACCTGGTCTGGGCACTGCTAGGCCAGTCACAGCCAGCAACCACCAACTAAGCTTGCCAGGTCAACCCAGCAGGGGACTTACTGGACGCTCTGAGAAAGGGGAAAGAAGAAGCATGCCATGCCTACATCACTTCCGGGTGATGTAGGTACGTGGGGGGGGGATGTGCCTACGTTACCCAGAAGTGACGTAAGCGCGTCTGTGATGTCCGGGGGCAGCACTCTGGTTTTGGGGCAAAACTCTAAGGTTTGAAGCTAATTCTACCATAGAGTTTTACCCAAAAAACCAAAGCGTCCCCTGCACCGATGTCACTGATATGCCTATGTCACTTTTGGGTGACGCAAGCACGTCACGTTTGGGGCGGTAACTCTCCTCTGTCAGTCACCTGGCACAGGACCAGGCAACCTTACCACCAACACAAGTGAAAAGTGAAAACAAAAGGCTTTTACCTTAAGGGATCATGTTAAAATAACTATACCACACAATGAGACAATGTCAACAAATTCACAATTGGCCACGATATAACAGTCCCGCCCAAGAAGCTCACAGATGAGTCCATGTTTCTTCCCTCCTCCATTTTACCCTAAAGACCCCAATGTGAGATGGACTAGGCTGATATTTACAGCCAAGTGGACCATAATATTTCATCCTTAGGAGCACAGATTTGTGACCTGGCATGGCCTAGTGGATAAATAATAGGACTAGGATCCTAAGAGACCCCGGTTCGAATCCCAGTGGAAGCTTATTGGGTGACCCTGGCTGGGTCGCATTTGTTCAGCCTAAAACTTATGCCACTGGGGTGATGGTTCTGAGAAAAAGGAGAAGAGGCGGAACCACACTCTAAGGTGCTTTGGGCCCCCACAGGAGAGAAGCAAACAAATGCAAAATGCAATGCATGATGTAAGTGAAAGGATAGAGGGTAGGTATTTAAACTCAGAGCATAACGTACTGGGTTTGTATAATGTGCTTGTTGGTCAGAGGATGTGATTCCGTGGATAGCTAAAATTATTTACTAATTAGGTTCTAATCTGTCCTTCCTTTATAAGGTGATCTTGGCTGGGAGGAAAAAAATGGAAGGCGCTGCAGGCTCCAGAGGTGAAAGCCGACTGGCAAACACTGACAGTTGGGGTCAAATAATTGGAGATTTTTTTGGGGGGAAGGGGTTTTCAGTTAACAGTAGGCTTCTGCAGAGGGAAACAGAGAGAGAGATGGCATGCCTTCCCCCTCTTTCCTTCAATACCCCCAACCTCACATGCTGTTGGGTTCCCCGCTCCCCTGCCCCAGTGCTTCAGCCCCTTGTCCCCACTCCTCCACTTGCAGCTGCTGGATGACCTTGGGCAAGCCATAGTTCTGGCACAGCTGTTCTTGAAAAACAGCAGTTTCTGTCAGAGCTCTCTCGGCCCCACCTATCACCCTGTCTGTTGTGGGGAGGGGAAGGGAAAGGAGTTTGTAAGCCACTCTGAGACACCTTTGGGTAGTGAAGGGCAGGGTATAAATCCAATCGCTTCTTCTTTAGTTATTTTATTATTACACTTCATTTTGTACAGAATAAATAATAGTTGTGGATTTCATTAAATCAGCCTAATTTATTATTGCTCTGACCTGGACAGCCCTGGTTAGCCTGATCTCATCAGATCTCGGAAGTTAAGCAGAGTCAGCTCTGCTTAGTATTTGGATGGGGAAACACCAAGGAATACCAAGATAGCAGGCAATGGCAAACCACCTTCGAATGTCTCTTGCCTTCAAAACTTCATGAGGTCTCCGTAAATCAGCTGCGACTTGATGGCAAAAAAAGGAATTACTATAGCATAAGCATAATGGCAAAAGGAAAGGAGTGGGTGAAGACTACTTACATACTCTCAAAGAACATTTAGCACTCTACTAGAATATGGCATGAATATAAATTTAAGTTATTTGAGTGTTCTTGGTTAAAGTCTCTGGTGTCAGCATGGTTTGAAGAGGGGAAACAAACCCATAAAGTGTCACGTGGAGTTCAATGTGTGATTCTGAGCATTACATTACCTCGTTATAAGGCGAGAAAATAAACTGAAAGATGATCAAGAGGCCTATCAGGGTAGGCTGGGTATTGTAGAATCCAAATGCAGTGAAAAGCTCCTTTCGACCAATCAGGACAGCAAACAAGAAGAAACACAAGAAGGAATTCATCTGGGGGTGGTGAGGAGAGAAGCATATCCATTAGCTGTCTTGCATACTGCTGTAAAAAGGCAGGGGTTACAAGTCCATTAAATAAATCATCCTGCTCTTTTTCAGTGTTGCAAAAATACCCGAAATTCAGTAGTGCTCTGAGCATGAGCTTTGGGAGCAACCAGACACTCAAGGCCTTTTTCACTAACTTTTAATGAAGGTTTCAGCCCTCTGCGCATGCACATGCGCAATGGTGAGCCAAAAGGCCTGCTCTAGTGGAAGGTCCGTATGCTCGTTGGAGCATGCATGAATCTACAGACTGAACCTTTACATTGTACAATACTTGTGTTACTGTCCAGTCAACCAACGTCTTGAACAGGAAACACAACTAAAATACTAATGGGGTTTAGCAGTCCAACGAGCTATCGCTACTACCAAATATTTTGTCGCTTTTTGTCACTTAGCAACCATGAAACATTGGCCTCTGCATACATTTTTTCCCCAAAGGAAATATCGACTCATCTCTAACATGTAAAATCATAGCGATTCAAAGAGAATATGATCAATAGCATCAATATTCCCTAATCTACAGGCACATAATCTATCAGAGAACGCTATGCCAAAGTGCCTTCCTGTCATAACTGCTGGAGGAAAGGCATTCAGACGGGCCAACATAAAAGCCGTTCTGTATCTTGCCACAATCAAAGTCCGAAAATACTATGGGATCTTCAATGGGGTGCGTATCCCAATAGCAAGAGAGGAACAAACCCTATGAGATCTTACAACAGTACTGTTACAATCTAGCTTTTTCAAACACCTTTTAATCAGGCAATATAAGTCCTGACACTCTAGTGTGTTTAACACATCAGCAGTAACTTTTAGACATTTAATCTTCTCTTCCAGTAGCCTGTCTCAGTCAGATTTAAAACTGTCACTCTTAACTAATCTTAAAAGTCCCAGCAGCAAATGAGACCTCAAGATGTTTAACTTAAAAGCTCTTGGCCAGGCCCATTTCTCCAATGATTGGTCTCCTACTTCAGTGTGCAATACCATGCCCACTATATTGTACAATAGTGATATTTCTTCAAAGCTATTCAGGGAAACTTGGGCTACATTTTATCTAGTGCTGTTGACCACCGCTGGATGTTGCCTAAATTATTTACTTTTATTATTCATTTATTTTATTCTGCCTTTCTTCCTGAGACTCCAGGCAGATTACAGGATATAAAACAGTGCCATCAGACCACATCAAAACAACCAATGGACAATGCAAGAAGTCTATGAATACAGAATTAGGGAACAACTATCCTAAGGATTGGTCACATCCTTTTCCCCAGCTCACACTCCATCAGAACTGAGCACAGAGAACTGAGAGAGGAAGGAAGACATTAACAATATCAAAATCAGACCATGAAACCCTTTGCAAAAAGTTGTGATGAACATACAAAGCTGCTTTATACCAGGTAGGCCCACTGGTCCATCAAGTTCAGTATTGTCCGCTCTGACCAGCAGCAGCTCTCCAGGGTCTCAGGAGGCGAAAGGTCTTCCCTAGCTCCTATTCTCTATAGTCTTCTTAACTGTAGATACTAGGGATTAAACCTGGGATCTTCCGCACGCAAAACCCATGGCTCTACCCTGAGCCGTGGCTCCTTCAAAAGCAGAAGTATACGCTGCCGCCTTATACTGAACCAGCCCAATGGTCCAAAAAGCTCCATGTTGTCTACTCTGACTGGTGGCAGCTCTCCAGAGAACTGTCTTCCTAACACCTGCTACTTGAGATCCTTCCACTGGAGATGTCAGAGGAGGAATCTACTTCATGCATAGCGTGCGCTCTTAGTACACAGAAGGCCCCAGGTTCAATCCTTGACATCACCAGTTTAAAAGGAACAGATAATAGGTAATGTGAAGGACTTCAAGCCTGAGATCCCGAAGAGCCACCACCAGTCTGAGTAGACAATACTGGCCTAGACGGACCAAGGGTCTGATTCAGTATAAGGCACCTTCATGTGTTCAAACTCACTCAAAGCATGCCCTCATTCCCTTCCACCACTTTTATGCTACAGGGATATCACTGTATTTGAAGAACTGGATCCACCTTATCAATGGCAGCAGCATGGAAAGAAATAGAACTATCTTCATTTCTAAGAGAACAAGAAAGGAACACACAGTAAAAAAAAACGGAGATATCACAAACACATGAAACTACCTTATCCTGAATCAGACTGTCCGTCCATCAAGGTCAGTATCATCTACTCAGACTAGCAGCCGCTCCCCAGAGTCTCAGGCAGAGGTCTTTCACATCATTTACTACTTTATCATTTTAACTGGAGATGGTGAGACTTGAACCTGGGACCTCCTGCATGCCACTGAGCCACGGCCCCTCCCCTGATATCCCTGTTACTTTCCACTCACCTGGCTGATGACAATGTTCTTGATGGTGTGGCCAAGCTTCCAGTGCCCCAGCTCATGGCCCAGCACAGCCAAGACTTCTTCGTTTTTGCAGCCTTGTTTCTTACTCTGGATCAAAAGAAAATCTATGCAATAAGCTGTCACTATACACGCAAGAACAATTTTAAATAATGTTACTGAAGTCTATGAAGGGGGAAAAAATAGAACCCCAGTTCAGATTAGTGAAATATCAATATAAACACAAAATCCATTCAAAAATGAGTGCTGTAATCAAGATACTGAATTTATATAAAGATGAACGCTGGCTGAACATCCACATTAAAAATATACGATAGAAGGCAGCCAGTTCTGTCACATTTTTAACCTGCCCTTTCCCCAAGGAGCGTAGGGTGGTCCTCTCCTCAGTCTCCTCAGTCCTCAGTCAGTTCTGCCACATTTTTAACCTGCCCTTTCCCCAAGGAGCGTAGGGTGGTCCTCTCCTCCATTTTACCCTCACAACAGCCTTGTAAGGTAGGCCAGGCTGAAAAGAGGACAATGGGCCCAAGTTCACCCGGTGAGCCTCCCGGACGACTGGGGATTTGAGCTGCCTCTCACCAGTCCCAGTCCTCTATAACCATTATGCAACTTTGCTGGCATCCATGAACAGAAGAAGGTGGAAGTTTTCTGCAATTCCCCCTTCTCCCCGTGGACCTCTGGCTCCCTCCTGAAGCTGTTCCTGAGGCCCCCTCCCCCAACAACACCATTTTGTGGGGCACTGTGGGATTCGGTGGAAGGTGGGAGGCAGGGAATTCATGCTCCTTAGATGGATATTCCTTCCATCCAAGCCAGTGACTCTCAGAGAGCTGATGGCAACACCTGTCCTTGATCCTTACATAAGCCAGTAAACAGATCTTTAAAGGGCAGGTATCCCATGCTGCAGTCCCGAGTTGGATAGCCCAGGCTAACCCGCTCTTCTCAGATCTTGGAAGCTGAGCAGGATCGGCCATTTCGATGAGAGACCATGAAGGGTAATATGAGAACCAAAAAACAGGGCGTCACAAATTCCAGAAGGGCAGAAACCACTGCTCTTCCCCCAATGACAAATCTCACTTTGGCTTTAGCTGGCGTCTCCGTTCCTTCCCCGTTTTCCCCAGCCACCTGGGACTCTGAACCAGCATCCTCAGGACGCTCTTTGTTAAGTGCAGAATAATCCTCTAGGAGTGTGTCAAAAAGCACGATGCGCTTATTCTTAAAGAAGCCATAGAAATAAGCGTTGCTGTGGGAGGATCGTTTGGAACCTGTGGAAGGGAAGAGAGGACCAGGTCTTACTATGCAAGCTGCCGAACATACTCCAGAATCCCAAGGATGTGTTTCCCTTTACTCAAGTCAGGAACCTACTTATATCCTGTAATCTTCCTTCTCCCGAAACACAACCTCCCTCAAACGCATGCAACACCCTGAGCCTGTTTGCGGGGAGGGCGGGATAGAAGTCCAATAAATAAATAAAGAAAACACGTAACAATGTTCGGATGACGTCTGAGTTCTCCAAGAGCATCACCGTGCCCTGGGCTTATTTCTTCCAATAGATTAGATCTGTTAACTCTTTTACTAGTGCAAGAGGAAAGAAAGGCAAGTCCACCCAATTTATTTATTTATTTACAAAATTTGTACCCCGCCTTTCTGGCCCTTAAAGGCCACTGAGGTGGCTAACAGTTAAAAAGAGTGTTATAAAAACATATACTTAAAAAATTAAAACTGAAACACGTATTTAAAACCACAGACAAACAGTATTTAGAGCACAGGGCAGGAAGGAAGGAATCGAGGGAAAAGCAGACAAATGTTTTTAAAAAGTTTTCAAGAAAACGATGACAAGAACATGACAGGCAACTGCCGCATCTTCCTGCAGACAGCAGCTCAATCTTGCACCCCATGATTCTTGGGCAAGCTTTATGAAAACATGAGAGCCTGAAGAATACAACAGAGATGGCTTTCTAAACAGACCTGTTCTGCCTGTATTCTTCAAAGGCTCACATGTGAAAAAGTTCCCATGGTCAACACCTAAAGGCTGCATCCTCAGCAGCATTATCTCACCTGACTCATAACGCCCGCTTCCCTTTCTCTTTGTCATTGTTATATTATAGATTTTATTGAGGCACACTGAATATCTTTTTTTTTGGGGGGGGGCAGATGGACCCTCAAAATAAATACACCCTCATCTCTACCCGGCTCAGAGTCTGAGACCAGCCAAACCACACCCATCCACTTCGCCTCTCACCTTCTACAACGTAAACTTTGGTCAGAGGGAAGTCTATATTCTTTGCCATTGCTTCGATTTGTTGCTTGAGCTCTCCTTCGGGGAGGGGAATGAATTTATCGAACAGAGGAGCAATGTAGTCTGCATAGATGGTGACGAGAACCTACGAGAGAAGCAGAAGCGTTAAAGCAGGGCCGTCTTTCTTCAGTTTATCAACATTCAGTGCTTTGAACATGCAGGTAACACTGGGCTGGATCCACAGAATCACAGAGTTGGAAAGGGCCACACAGCCCATCGAGTCCAGAAGTCCCGTGTGGTACCCGTGGGTGCTGCAGCACCTGCCAAGCGCTTTTAGAAAGTTGGTGGGAGTACGCTTTTGCCCAGCAGACTAAAAGGCCTCTTTGTTCAACAGAACTTCTGCTTGAACTGTTGAAGAGCTTCTATTATAGAGTTAAACACAACCTTGATCCCTGAGGTTTTGTGGCTGGTTTTGCCACCTGCAGTAGCCATTTTGTGATTGTGTCTACCAGCTTGTGTAAGAATTCCAAAGGTGCCTGAAGGTTCAAAAAGGCTGGGGGTGGTGGTGGCCTGATTTAGTCCAACCTCCTGCTCGATGCAGGACCAGCCTAAAACACCCCTGACAAGTGTTTGTCCAGCTACTGCTGGAAGACCACTGGAGGCTCTCCAAAGGCTATCCTCCACAGGTTCCTCCCTGAACAGGATAAAGTTTGCTTGGCATAGTAGCTAGACTGGGAGACCCAAGTCCAAATCCCCACAAATCCTGCTGGGTGACCTTGGGCCAGCCACTCCCTCTTTCTCAGCCCAGCCTTCCTAACAGGGCTGTTATGGGGACAAAATGGAAGAAGGGCAGGAAAAATGATTTTTCTGAATATATGAATGGAAACAACTTTGGATCCCACACATCCCCTTTCTAGTCACTAAATCCAGGCCATGTTCTGCCCAGCACTCCCCTTCAACTTTGGGGCTGCGAAGTAGGGGATGAGGACTCACTGATGGTCTTTTTGGGATGGGACAAAACACACACTCTGTCTTGTAAAAGACACTAACCGCCCCTCTGTATCAAATTCCCTCTTTCAATATCCCTTGAAGAACAGACAGAGGAAGTAGCTAGGCTGTGGATGGGCTGGGTTTGAATCCAATCCTTTTGGTTTGGGGCCTACTGTCCCAGTCTGCCAAAATGCTTAAACAACCCCCAATCCAAAGTCTGAGAGAGAGAGAGAAAAATAAACGCTCCAAGAAGGAATTGGGCCATTTTGTGTATTCCATAAAATCATTAATACAGACCTCTGACTTTAAGGTTTTAAAACGCAGAATCCTAGAAGCCCTGGCAATTATTGTCTATTATTTATTTAGTTACTTCTTATCTACCATGACTTTCTCCCCAGCGTGGAACCAGAATGCCATACGCCATTCTCCTCCCCTCCATTTTATCCTCACTTCCTGTGAATGACACATTGGGTGGTGAGTGGGTGACTGATCCAAGGTCACTCAGCAAGCTTCCATGGCAGAGTGAGGATCTGAATCTGGGTCTCCAAGCACCTGGCCTGACACTCTAACCGTTAAACCACACTGGCTCTCCGATCCAAGCAAAGAGCAGGCTGAGAAACAAAGAAAGCGAAGATCCAGCCAATGTGGACTTATTTTCAGTTCATCGGAGTAAGATTTAAACCCTTTAAACCATGGGATCTAAAAAGTGCTCAGCTCTGACACATGAAGCTGCCTTATCAGACCCTTGGTTCGTTAAGGTGAGTATCGTCCACTCAGACTGGCAGCAGGTCTATGAAACTCCTTGTGAAATTCTGCAGGGCCTGCGAGGTTGAGATGTTCCGCCAGGTTTTTTGGTTGGGGATAGCGCCAGTTTTCATCTTGGCTGGCACCCTGTTCCACTCTCCACATTTGTCTTACCCTTTCCCCCCTGCCCATGAAGTGGCCAGCAGTCTGAAAATGGATTAATTTGTTCACCATCTGTTTTAAAATGTGCTGTTTGACTTTAATTGTTTTAACTAGTGTATGTTTCTATTCATATTGTACATCGCCCAGAGCCCTGCAGTAATTAATTGGGTGATTAATAAATTTAATAAATAATAATAATAATAATAAAAGAGCTCTTAGACATCACCTACCACCTGATCCTTTAAAACTGGAGATGCTGGGGACTGAACTTGGAATGTTATGTATACCAAGCAGATGCTCTACCACTGAGCCACGGCCCCTCCCCGAGGTTAGGCTGGCTGGTGCCCAAAATGCTCTATACCAAAGGAAATGCTCAAAATCATTGTGCAGTAAAACTATGCAAATAGCTCAGACCAAGTCAGCCCAGCCACATTCATACAAGACAATCCAGAAAGGCCACAGTGATTTGGAATAGAAAGTTGTGCCTTCAGCAGAGACGTTGTATGAATGACTGAAACGAGCTTCTTCCTAGTGTAACAGAATAGCACAGCAAAGAGCTGGAAGCAAAATACTCACCAAAGAGACCACTAACGTGAAAAGCCACGCATAGATGAAGAAATAGTCTCCTCCTATTTTAATAATGTAAAGCAAAAGCGCCGTTACGGGCAACAGGATGCATTGAGTCACAATGAACTTCTTGATAGCGTCTTTAAAAAAGAATCCTAGAGTCTGCGAAAGGACAAGAAAAGAAACAACTTTATTAGATCTGCTATTTTGAAGCTAGCTGAAGGAACGCAGCAGTTTCAACAAAGCGAGTTTAAAACCTGTCTGGGCCTGCATACAAACAAGAGCTATCGGTCGTCAGGATCAGTAGTGAGTTAAAGCACAGTAAAAAAAGTGACAATTTCCCTTGACGATACTACAAAAGGTAGACATTTAACCACTGCAGAAGGCTGCCCACAGGATTAGGACCCATCGTTCACTCTCTTTCAGAATGACTCTTTCAGTGATTAAAAACGTGGGAACACGACAGCTGTGCCAGATCAACACACAAAGAAACAGATTTTACTGTTTACGGGAACGAACGCAGCAGCATGGAAGAAGACTGATCATCACTTGGCAGCTATACTTGTGCATTCCACCCTACCTGTTGATTGAAGCCGTGTTTTTCCTCTATCACGAAAGTATTATAGAGGCTCCAGGGCAGGCCTGTGACTGCGCTGAAAAGAGTAGCAAGCAGCAAGAAAACCAGGGACTGGCTAATCTAAACGTAAGAGGGGAGAAGGGGGGGGGGAGAAAAAGAAATCATGAGCAGGTACTGGTTGCATTCTAAATTAGACACACACAAACACACAATGTTTCTAGACTTATGGATGGGCTCCAGCTTTTCCCAAGGCACACAGCCAGCTGTGCAGGTTTCTGTGTGCTCTTGACAGGCCAACTGCATCATGGCTCTCCACTGCTAGGGTTGCCAGCTCTAGGTTGGGAAATACCTGGAGATTCTGGGGGTGGAGTCTGAGGTGGGCGGGGTTTGGGGAGGGACTTCAGTGGGGTAGAATGCCATAGAGTCCAGCTTTTCTCCAGGTGAACTGATCTCTGTCGCCTGGAGTTGTAAACCCAGATCATCTCCAGCCACCACCTGGAGATGGGCAACACTATCCCCGCACACACTGCAGATGGGACAGGACGTAATCCCACCACATGCCAAAAGTGGAAGATGGCCCCAGAGGCCCTTTGGAGGCTACACATTTCCTGGTATCTGGAGCAGGTAGTGCAGTGATTTTCTTGCACTCTGCTTTTTTCTTTGTCCCCCAAGGCCTGGTATCTTCGGTCAGCAGTAGTCCCTCTTCTACTGGTCTACGGGCCTCCGCAATTGCCCTGAGTGCACTGAATCAGTTTTCGACTAAACATTAGGAAGAACTTCCTGACAGGTTCCTCAGTGGAACAGGCTTCCTCAGGAGGTGGTGGGCTCTGGAGGTTTTTAAGCAGAGGCTAGATGGCCATCTGACAGCAATGCTGATTCTGTGAATTTAGGCAGATCATGAGAGGGAGGGCAGGAAGGGTTGCCTCAGTGCTTAGTTCTCATGGTCCTTTCTTACACACCCAGGGAAATGCTGATCACCACTTTGGGATCAGGAAGCAATTTTTCTCCAGGCCAGTTTGGCTGGAGATCCTGGAGGTTTTTTTGCCATCTTCTGAGCATGGAACTGGGGTCACTGTGGGTGTGGGGGTGAGGTATTTGTGAATCTCCTGTATTGTGCAGGGGGTTGAACTAGATGACTCTGGAGGTCCCTTCCAACTCTATGAATTATGTCTGTTTCTCCCCTCTATACCACCCTAGACGTTGGATCCTGACTACATTTTCTAATGGCAGGATGGAACCTTCCTGCCCTCTCCCCCCCACTGCACCCCACTGACATCTACAAAGTGCTGATCCTGGGGAACAGGGTACCTGAGGAATGACACAAGGTGGGTCTGCAACAGGAAGGGAGACATTTCACTGGAAACGGCCCATTTGGTCTGGATGCAGCCCTATCTCTGGAATCATACCTATGCTTACCAGGAAGCAAGCCCCATGAAAGGCAGCAGAATTTCCTTCCAAGTGAACATGCATCGGATTAGGCTGCAAATTCATGAGGCAAACACTCACGTGCTTCTAATCTGGAAGTGTGACTTCAGCTCCCAGCAAATATGCAACGATTAATGACTGTGGTCTATACTGCTGTGTTAAGTAGGATCCTACTTAGGTCATTTCTTTTTTTCTTTTCTTTTTTTGAAATAAATTTTTATTTAATTATAAAAACCAGACATAAACATCAAGTACACACCCCACTCCCCATATAGAAAACAACCTACAGTATACATATAGCAACAAAACAAAAAAGAGGGGGGAAAGAGAAGAAAAGTGAAAAAGAAGCAAATTAAGGCATTGGTAGAGAGCTCAACATTCAGCACAAAGAGAAGGAATTCTTTCCCCTTCTTTTTTCTTTTCCTCTACTTAGGTAATTTCTGTACTGCTTAATGCGCCGTGTGAATACTTATGCTATGCTTCAGTTCTTTCTAGTGGTTCAGACTTCTAAAACCCTAACGGCATTGTTTGTTGGATGTCCCACTTTTGTGACTGTGCTGGCTCACTAGGAGGAATCCGCCTTGAGTCCCTGTGAGAAAAGCAGACTATAAATAAGGTGAATGAAATAAAGACGGAGGTAACAGTGGGGAGTGGGAACTAAGGGCTTTCATCATTTCTCAAGCAGTGTTCTCATCTACTCTTAGTTTGAGGATTATGTTATTAATACTATTTCAGACTGTTCTATGTGTTTTTATTGACCATTTTTAATTGGCATGTTTTTATTGAAGCTTTCACTGTATGATTTGGGTTTTTCTTAAATTGTCTGCATGGTGATTTGCTTAGTTCTGTTTTACTGCACACACATTTTCTAAATAAACCAATTCTATGCAGCTGGAACAGAATCATTTAAAAAAAAAATGAGCGAGTCAGGTTTGAATCAGCTCCTGCTAGTGTACACGCAGTGCTGCAGTGTGATGCTATGGAAACCAAATGATGGGCTCGGGGAAAAATTCATGTAATTCCTCTGCACTAAGCCTAAGCACAGTTACACCCTTCTAAGCCCATGGACTTCAACAGGCTTAGAAAGCTATAACTCTGCTTAGGACTGCAGTGAAAGCTATAACTCTGCTTAGTACTTTTCAGGTGATCAGTAGGGTTGCCAAACTCCAGGGGGCACCTGGAGATCTCCCACTATTACAATTGATCTCCAGATGACCAAGATAAGAACATAAGAGAAGCCAATGTTGGATCAGACTAATGGCCCATCCAGTCCAACACTCTGTCACATGGTGGCCAAAAATATCAGGTGCCATCAGGAGGTCCAGCAGTGGGACCAGGACACTAGAAGCATTCCCACTGTTGCCCCCCCCCCAAGCACCAAGAATACAGTACATCACTTGCCCCAGCCTGAGAGTTCCTATCTATACCTTGTGGCTAATAGCCACTGGTGGACCTCTGCTCCATATGCTTATCTAATTCCCTCTTGAAGCTGTCCATGCTTGTAGCCACCACCACCTCTTGTGGCATTGAATTCCATGTGTTAATCACTCTTTGGGGGAAGAAGTACTTCCTTTTATCTGTTCCAACCCAACTGCTCAGCAATTTCATTGAGTGCCCATGAGTTCTTGTATTGTGAGAAAGGGAGAAAAGTATTTCTTTCTCTACCTGCACTGTCCCATGCATAATCTTGTAAACCTCGACCATGTCACCCCCAGTTGTCATGTCTCCAAGCTAAAGAGCCCCAAATGTTTTAACCTTTCTTCATAGGGAAAGTGTTCCAGCCCTTTTATCCTTCTAGCTGCCATTTTCTGCACTTTTTCCAATACTATAATATTTCTTTTGAGGTGTGGTGACCAGAATTGCACACAGTATTCCAAATGAGGTCACACCATCAATTTATACGGGGGCATTATGATACGGGCTCATTTGTTTTCAATGCCCTTCCTAATAATCCCCAGCATAACGTTGGCCTTTTTTTATTGCAGTCGCACACTGTCTCGACATTTTCATTGAGTTATCTACTACAACTCCAAGATCTCTCTCTTGGTCAGTCTCTGCCAGTTCTGACCCCATCAACGTGCATTTATAGTACGTTCCCCTGGAGAAAGTATCTGCTCTGAAGGGTGGATTCTACAGCATTATACCCTGCAGAGGTCCCTCCCCTTCCCAAACCCCGTCCTCCCCAGGCTCCACCCACAAAATCTCCAGATGATTCCCAATCCAGAGCTGGCAACCCTAACGATCAAGTAAGTACCAAAACAGTTTATCTCAGAGGGTAGCCCTGCTGGTCTGCAGTAGAACAGGTAGATTCAAGTCCAGTAGCACCTTAGAGACCAACAAGATTTTTGGGGTGTGAGGTTTTGAGGCTCAAAGCTCCCTTCGTCAGGTAATAGCAAAGGTATCTGACAAAGGGAGGTTTGACTCTCGAAAGCTTGTACCCCAAAAATCTTGTTGGTCTCTAAAGGTGCTGCTGGACTCAAAACAAAAAAGCCTAGGCCGCCACCCGTCTGCAGTCACATATAGCAGTGGAAGGGTTATCTAGCATGAGGTAGTTAGTATACAGATGCTCAGTAAAATCTCAGGGCCTACCTCATACTCTGGTCCAAAGCCAGCGTATTCAGAGATCTCTCCAGATACAGACCAAAGGAAAGGAATTCCTCCACACAGTAGAATCACCTGCAAAGCAAACACACAGCGTCATGGAACACGCTTGCACAAGGGTTCAAGCATCTTGAAAAGAACAAAGTAACCGAGCCTTTGCCATTTCCATCTTTGTAACCAAGCCTTTGCCATCTTTGTGCAAAAGAAGACTGAGCCTTTGCCATCTTTGTGCAAAAGAAGACTGCAGAGGAAGGCAACGGGAAACCACCCCTGCTTCTCACTTGCCTTGAAAGCCCCTTGTTGAGGTCACCATATGTTGTATATGCCATTAAAGGTCTATTGATTGATTGACTGACTTGATGGCACTTTACACATACGCTGTCCAGGGCTCTACATGGCTAAGATCCATTCCAAGGCCTGTGCACAATCTGTGCAAACATGGAATGATCAGAACACTTCCATGCTGCAGCGCCAGCAACATTTTGTTAAAAATTATTTTCGACAGTGTCTAATTGAGTCAAACTATGAAGGAAGGCAAGATGTCCTGCACTTCCTGTTACTTAGGTTAAAAACCCTTTCTCGTTACTTAGAAAAGCTATTTTATACTAAATAAGAAACACACCAAAAAAAGGGTGGAAGAAATACTCACGGTGCCCTCTACCTCTGAGTAGAGACCTGACCAAAAGCTGAAAGCACTTTTATCCAGCTGATAAAGCCGAGATTTTTCAAATGTTTCCACATCCATTATCTGTCCCAGCTCCAATGGGACATGGGTCGTCGTCTTGTACACAGTCCTCTGAAATATTTTAAACATGATTACCCTATCATTTATTTATACATGACAACCATTTTGCCAAATTATGAGAAACTGTGAAAAGAGTTTTAGGAGTAGCTTCTGGGCAGCAATAGAAAATATGGGCATTAAAATAAAAATCCCTGGAAGCTGGAAATGTGTCTGGCTTGGGCTGGCTCCTAGAGCCAAAGAACATTTGTCAAGGCATGTTGTGCAGCTTGTCAGAGTGCCAAATTTATGCCGTTGGTGGTCACAACAAATCTCTATGAGGTAAGTCTGCTTCAAATGGCCATTGGGGAAGTCACACCACTAAATCTTCTATTATCATCTGCTGCTTGGCTTGCACTCTGCCATTATTAGAGGTAGACGTCACACCCTGAACTTTGAGGGAGTAAATCCAAATTGTCTCAATGACAGAGTATTTATGGATCTTCATCCTAAACTGTACCTTCTTAATGATTTGCACTGCAGTCCTAACAACACTTTCTTGGGATTAAGCCCCACTGCACAGAGCTGAGTAGGATTTTGAGTAGACCTGCTCAGGACTGCTCCCTTGGATACCCTATCAGCAAGCGAGGAAATGAGGTCCAAGAATAGTGTGTGTGTTATATATATAATTATATGCACCTCAAACACAGAGAATCAAGGTCTAAACATCTTTGAATACTTCAGTTTACATACATAAGTTACAACAAGAAACCATGCTGGTTTATAACCTCCAGGATTGCTGTTTATGTGCTGAATTAGACCAAGAATCCTGTCATTACGGTTCTTCCCCCCCAAAAAAATGTGGGTGCATTTACCGGGGGGGCGGGGGCAGAGGAGGCTGGCACACAGGCAATGAGAGGGTACCAATGGGATGAGAATAGCAGGCTCTCCTCTCAGACTCGAAGGATAAGAAAAAAAAATAGACAAGGGAACTAAAGGACCAAACGTTATCCTGTATTGGATCTAGTACAGGGGTGGCCAAACTGTGGCTCTTTCACACATATTGTGAGGTTCCTAACAGGGCGGCTGGGGAAGTGAAGGGGAGGCCCGCCTCCCTGATCAGTCTTCCCTTCCCCAGCCAGTGTTCCCCTTCCTGGGTAGGCTTGAAGTGGGGGAGGGAGCAGAGAAAGAAAGCAATTTAAATGCGTTCTGAAAGCCCGTCCCCCTTCCCCAGCTTGGAGAAGGCATTTGTCTCTTTAAATCCCTTCTCCAAGACAAGCCAGCTGGTGTGGAGGTGTGTGGGGGTTGGAGAAGACATTCAAACTTAAAGTTGTTTTCTTTCCACCTCTCCCTTTCTCCTTCCTTCCTCCCTCCCCCATCCATTTGCTTTCTTTCCACCTTTTCGACAAATATCATTAGCAAACAGTTAAATATCATTGGACAAATAAATATCATTATCAATAGCTGTTTTGACCCCTTTTGTTTTATTTTTTGGCAGTCTCGTTTAACGCTAATAAAAAGCAAATTTGCATATCGTCCAACAAAAACGTGTGTGTGATATTTGTTCATGTCTTGCGGCTCTCAAAATGTCTGAGTCTGTGGCTCTTACGTTAAGCCAGTTTGGCCACCCCTGTTCTAGAGTATTATACCCCATTGAAGTCCCTTCCCAAACCCCACCCTCCTCAGGCTCCACCTCCAAAATCTTCATATATTTTCCAACCCAGAGCTGGCAGCCCTAAATCGCAACTGACTTTTGGCAAAGCGATAGGGTTTTCAAGGCAAGAGACATTCAGAGGTGGTTTGCCTGCGTCTGCACAGTGAACCTGGATTGCCTTCCTTGGTGGTCTCCCTTCCAATCACTAACCAGGGCCGATCCTGCTTAGCTTCCGAGATCTGGTGCGATTGGGCTAGCCTGGGCCGTCCAAGTTCCTGGCGGATGGACAGATAGAAATACACAAATTGGGTATTTCAGAGAAAAGTCTGGCTGGGACAATTCTTAGGCTTGGAATGTGGGCCGCTCCGAAAGGGAACCAGGAACCATCTGTCTTCTGCCACCACCTCTGCACTGAAACCTCTTGACTTTTTGATCCTCCTCCACTATCCATTATTTTCTGAGGAGGGGGGAAAAACTCCTTCACAATATATATATGTGGATTGTGTAGCTGATCTGAAGGTATCTACTCTGCCTACATTTCATTTGTAACTTCTTCTTTTCTCGTGAAGTTACGTGGGATGGGGCCGTGACTCAGTGGCAGAGCATCGGCTTAGCGTGCAGAAGGTCAGAGGTTAAATTCTGGGCATCTCTAGCTGAGGACCGGGTAGTGGTTGATATCAAAGACCTCCACCTGAAACCCTGGAGAACCACTGTCAGTCTGAGTATACAATACTGACCTCGATGGACCAGTGTTCTGATTCAGTATGAGTCAGCTTGATACATGTTCCTCTGTATGCTCCGGTGAGTGTGTGGACCTTACATCATGGACAGTAACTGATACTGCTTGGTGGCTGGTTGTTGTTGTTGTTCAGTCGCACAGTCGAGTTGGACTCTTCGTGACCCCGTGGACCAGATCACGCCAGGCCTTCCTGTTTTCCGCCGTCCTCTGAAGTTGGCTCAATTTCACGTTCGTTGCATCTATGACACTGTCTAACCATCCCATCCTTTGCCGTCCCCGTCTTCTTTGACCTTCAATCTTTCCCAGCATCAGGGTCTTCTCCAGTGAGTGCTGGTAGTTTCTAAGAAAAAGTGGCCTTCAGATGGCGGTGGCAACCAAAGCAGGGCCTCCGAAGCAATGCTCCCTCTAAGCTGTAGAGTCTTGTGAGCAAAAATTCTACTTTGTGAGCTACCGGCATTAAAGTTGTGAGCGAGCGATTTGGCTACCGCATAAATTAGTTTTGCCCTGGAGGCATCCTTCCGGAGCGAAGACAAAAATGTGTGAGCCGGAGGCTGTGAGCTAGCTCACGCTGACTCAGTTTAGAGGGAACACTGGTGGCTGGTAGTTTCTAAGAAAAAGCAGTAGCTAGCAGCAACGTGTCCAAAAGATTATGGAAAGAGCAGGTGGAGTGCTCCTTCTCTAAGGCTGCAGGCCCCCATTGTGGAGGAATGCTGGCAAAGGAAGCTGTCACGGACTTTGACCTCCCCATGTGATTTCTAGAGACCAAGTGCTATGAGGAAAGGTTGAAGGAGCTGGGTATGTTTAGCCTGGAGAGGAGATCACTGAGAGGTGATGTGATAACCAAGTACTTGAAGGGCTGCCGTATAGAGGATGGGGCAGAGTGGCTTTCTGTTGCCCCAGAACAGGTGGCCAAACTGTGGCTTGGAAGCCACATGTGGTTCTTTCACACATATTGTGCGGCTCCCACCACAGTGGCTGGGGGAGCAAAGGGGAGGCATGCCACCCCAATTGGTCTTTCCTTCCCCAGCCAGTGCAGAGACAGAAAGCAACTTGATCTTTAAATGCATTCTCAAAGCCCCCCCACCCCCAAGCTGTCTTGGAGAAGGCATTTGTCTCTTTAAATCCCTTCTCCAAGCCAAGCTAGCCAGCGTGGGGGCAAGGGGGCTTGGAGGACACATTTAACGTTAAAGTTGCTTTCTTTCCACCTCTCCTTCTTTCCCCCATCTATTTGCTTTCTTTCCACTTTCTTTCTTTCCACCATTCTTTCTTTCTCTCCCTCCCCATCTAAAACTATCGATTTAATATTAATAAAAGCAAATTTGCGTATTTTTCAGTAAAAACATGTGTGTAATATTTGTTCATGTCTTGCGGCTCTCAAACATCTGACGTTTATTCTGTGTGGCTCTTACGTTAAGCACGTTTGGCCACCCCTGCCCCAGAAGGTCGGACCAGAACCAATGGGTTGAAATTAAATCAGAAGAGTTTCCAGCTAAACATGAGGAAGAACTTCCTGACAGAGCGGTTTCCTCAGTGGAACAGGCTTCCTCAGGAGGTGGTGGTCTCTCCTTCTTTGGAGGTTTTTAAGCAGAGGCTAGGTGGCCATCGGACAGCAATGCTTGATTTTGTGAACTTAGGTGGATAAACGAGAGGGAGGGCAGGGAGGGTTGCCTCAGTGCTTAGTTCTCGTGGCCCTTTCTTACATGCCCAGGGAAATGCTGATCGTCACTTTGGGGTCAGGAAGCAATTTTTCTCCAGGCCAGTTTGGCTGGAGATCCTGGAGGGGTTTTTTTTTCTTTCGGTCATCTTCTGGGCATGGAACAGGGTAACTGGGGGTATGGAGGGGGAGGTATTTGTGAATTTCCTGCACTTTGCAGGGGGTTGGACTAGATGACCCCGGAGGTCCCTTCCAACTCTATGATTCTTTGATTCATGTAAATATATGAAGCTGCCTTACTCTGACTTCGACCAGTGCCCCATCTAGCTCAGTAATTTCTGCTCTGACTAGGAGCAGGTGTCCAGAGTCTCAGGTCGTGAAAGGTCTTCCCAATACTTTATTTTATATGTCCCTTCAGAGAAGGAGCAGGCAACCAGAAAGCCTGGCCGGGTCGGAATTTGGGACTTTGGATAGTGTGCATGAATGATACAACCACATGGGTAGAGCAGATTGCTTGAATCCTTTCCAGGGAATTGGGACTGGGCACCCAAAGTATTCCTAATTAACTTTTGGAACTCCCCATCTCAAGATGTCGCGATGGCCGCTCGTTTGGAAGGCCTTGACAGCGGGATTGGGGAAATTTATGAGGCAGATGGCTCGCTGAAAGGATGGCTGAATAGCGCCTCCGTCTTCAGACGAAGCGTGGTGGGTTAGGTGGACTACTGGTCTGATCCAGCAGATCTCTTCTTACGTTCTCGGACTTCAAAAAAATTGCTACCTTCTATACAGTTTGAGACCCGAGGGTGCCGCGTGACGGAGTGAGCTCCCGTCTCTAGTTCCAGCTCCTGCCAACCTAGCAGTTCGAAAGCAAGAGATTGCAAGTAGATAAATAGGGACCGCTTCGGTGGGAAGGTAACAGCGTTCCGTGCGCCTCGGTGTCTAGTCATGCCGGCCACATGACCACGGAAACGTCTTCGGACAGCGCTGGCTCTTCGGCCTTGAAACGGAGATGAGCACCGCAACCC